GACGGGATATGGGTCATTGTGGATTGTTTGACCAAGTCTGCTCACTTCTTAGCAATGAAAAAGACTGATGGAGTACCAAAGTTGGTGGAAATGTATATTGATCAGATCGTGAAGTTGCATGGAGTGACAGTGAGTATCATCTCAGATCGTGATCCGAAGTTTATTTCAAGGTTCTGGAAAGAGTTCCAGGAAGCGTGTGGAACACGGTTGCATATGAGTACAGCGTATCATCCTCAGACTGATGGGTAATCAGAACAGACGATCAGGACATTGGAGGATATGTTGAGAGCGTGTGTACTGGACTGGGGCGGTAGTTGGGAAGACTACTTACCGTTGGCTGAATTCGCATACAACAATAGTTACCAAATGAGCATTGAGATGTCTCCGTATGAGGCGTTGTATGGCAGGCCGTGCAGGACACAATTGTGTTGGACACAAGTGGGGGAGCATAGTGGAATGGGGCCAGCAGTGGTCGAGGCTACTACAGAAAATATCAGATTGTTAAAGGTTAAGCTGAAAGAGGCTATGGACAAGCAGAAAGGTTATGCGGACAAACGTCGCAGGGATTTGGAGTTCAGTGTGGGTGATATGGTTTATCTTAATGAACTGACTTATAAGGGAACAGACAGGGCAGCTAAGAGTGCCAAATTGAATCCGAGGTACATGGGGACGTACCAGATACTGGAAAGAGTTGGCGCAGTGGCTTACAAGTTGGACTTGCCATCAGAAATGGGAGCGTTCCATAATGTATTCCATGTGTCACAGCTAAGGAAGCACATTACCGAACGGGAAACGGTTATAGAGGAACCACCAGCAGACTTGCAAGAGGACCTTGCAGGAGTGACTAGGCCGGTTCGGGTGATAGGTCGGAAAGAAAAGACTAAGCGTGGGAAGCTAGTCAGAATGGTTCAGGTCGTATGGGACTGCGACGGGCAGGAACAGGTTACTTGGGAAAATGAAGCCAGGATGAAATCTAAGTATCCTAAATGGTTTGACAAGTTGCAAACGGATGAGTCGGATTCGAGGGCGAATCCAGAACAGGTGGGGGAGAGTTGTAGCATCCGTATCCGAGAAAATTTGGAATGATCGGACCGGACAGGGCATTGTCCGAGGAATAATCGAGCCAAGGGTCGGATATTGGCTGGGAAATAGAGGTTTGGGCTATGGTCGGGTGATGACCGAGGGAATAGTCGAATGGTTGGCTGGATAGCCGAGTCGGACGACCCATATCCGAGGGAAACAAAGTCCAGTCTTTGGGAAATGGGATTTATCCCGGCGCAGTGGGATTTATCTGAGAGTCTGGGAGGTTAGTCTGAGTGTCAATGGACTGTCTCTGAGGGAGAAAGGGAAACCTCCGAGAGAAATAGAGGATTAGCCGAGGTGGGACAAGTTGTCCGGGAGAAAAAGGAATATTCGGGTGAAAAATGGAAAAACACCTCGGATAAGGGCGGTTTATCCAAGTGGGAGGGGAATTGGGCCGTGGGCCAAGTGTTTGGTCGGCTATTTTGATGGTTTATCACGTGGATAGTCAAGCCGGTACAGGGAATAGCCGAGAGAATCGAATCGGACCGGGATAAAACCTAGTGGAACCAGGAAAACATCGGATAAGTCTGGGTTATCTAGGGTTTTGCGAGTTTATAAGGGATTTTGAGACTTTTCTCGGGAGAGTTGTGTTTATTCGAGAGCAATAAAGCAAAGAAAGAGAATAGTCGAGAGAAAACCCTAAGAAAAACAGTTTATCCCGAGGACATCAGAGAGAGATCAGGTTATCGCCGAGCAGATCCGACCATCACCGAGATAAACTGGTAAGCAATCGGATATTTTCCTAAGTGTTGAGTTTTCATCGGATAACCTCGAGCTAATAGCCTTGTTTTGTGGGGTTTTCGAGGGTAAACAGAGTTTGGTTCGGAGAAAGGTGAACAGATCGAGAGATAGCCGAGGGGAAAAGGATCGGATCGTACGGACAGCCGAGAGATTCTTAAGGAGATCGGATATCTTCGTTTTGGTACGGATTTGAATGGGGATTTCTTCTGACCAATCTGTTTTCAGCCTTATTTAAGGTGAGTGCGTGACTGTGGTTGGTGTCTAGAACCGTAGGATTGCTAGGGTTGAATGTTTGCATGTTGATTGTGTGATTTTCATGTTATGTGTTTAGAACTGATAAGCAATTTTCATGTTATGATATATTAAGGTGTTTACCGTGGCATAGATGATGTCTAGCTAACTTCAGAGTAATCCGGATCATGTACTAGCTTAAGGGATGTGGGATTCTCGCTGAAGTAGACATGGGTCTTAAAAAGGGATTGAACTTGGTTGGTTAAGTTAGATCATCAGGGCCGTTTGATATTGTTATGTCTATTGCAAATTGATTGTGTTGAATGTTGAATCCGAAAGTATGATTGCGTGTTTGGTACTGACTAGGTGTTACGGGATGACCGTACTCACTAAGTATTTATGAAATACTTATGCCTCTCTTCTTGAGTGTGCAGGTACTAAGCCGTAAAGGGGCGAGACCAGGCGGCAGTGATGGATATGGATGGATCGGGACTGGGTTTTATTTATGTTTAAGACGTTGTGCTTTGTCTTATGGCTTTGGTGTTTGACCGTTCGGTTGTTAGATGATCAGTTGTAATCGTTAGCGAACCTTGTGCTTGGGTATTTGATAACCCCGAATCCTGTTTAAGTGTTTTATGAATGTTAAATGAATAAGATGAGTTAGTTTACATTCCGCTGTGTACTGATAAGAAAGAATAAGAATGAAGGAAAAAAGTTTAAAAATATGGCTATGTATAGAAACAGACTGTTAGGATGTAGTGGGACACAGCCGCGGTACGGTTTACCGGATTGGGTTACCACAAAAGCTATCACAAATCTTCTAGCATCGAGCATAATGCATAACCCATATCAATACTTTCAACTTTATGTGCAATGGGGTGATGCTTCGACGTACATTTTTCACCCCCATCAATGTGTTATATGTACCTTACCCGTGGCAATACCAACCTAGCCCATCATTTGCCGATGTATCTTTCCATGATCCATATGTTTGGCAAGTCATGCCATCATAGACCATCATCACCTCTTCTTAAGATATTGTCTAAGTAATGTCAACAATTTCTTGAACAGATAAACTATTATCTTTTCTGGATCTTTTGGTGTATTTGGAAATCACGAAATAATCTCATATTCAAAAAGAACAGATCAAAATCAATAAAATTATAATCAAATTATACACAGAAGTCACGTAATGGATTAAAGCCACCTCTACTACATCTATAATGATGTAAGCATTAGTACCATGCTAGATGTACCAGAGAAGAGGAGCCATATAGAAGCTGACTTGGAGCTAAACAAGCTTGTAGATAAGGAGCAAAGGAGACATGTAGTTGTTTTCAAAGGAGATGAGGATTTAACATCAATAAAATGTCGTTATATACACCAAAGAGAGCCTTATGACCGAGCCAAGCATGTACTGGTTCAGTTTAATCTGCAAGAGAACCAAGACAAACCATCAAAACCACATATACACATAAATAGAGCAACAAGTGTATATTTGGAGCCTTCTATGGAAATATGTCAAGCAATGACATATCATGCGACCAACCCCACGTCCTCAGAAGCTACTAAGAAGACTAAACTACATTTGGTTCAATTCATATTATCACTTATCCAAGAAGATCCAACCAAGTGCATATATGGACCTATATGCAAATATATAGAGCCATTCAAGGAAACAAGGATCATAGCTTACACCAACATTTCATTCACGCCTCCTTTGAGGTTTACAGAGTATACCAAGAGTCCTAAACCACCTGATCAAGCCAATTGATAGCAGAAAATGACTACTAAGCAAATCCTAACACACTCATGTCATTGCAGCATGTAAGGTATCAATCCATCTGAGTTTTTAAGGCACCAAGAATACATCAAATCATTTAAGTCAAGCTAGATTCAAGAAGGCTGTTGTGAACAAAACTAACAAGTCTAAAGACTGAACTAAGCAAAGCAAGAAATTCAAATAGATGAAGTAAGAATCTAAGATGGGGGTTATTGATTAAGAGGGGGTTAGAACTTAACTAGTGATGCTTCAAAACCATTCAAACAATGCTATCTTCTAGGCACATGATTAACAAATATAACTAGCTCAATTCCTTGACACTAACCACTTTGCTAAACACACATTCAAGATAAATCCCTTTACTCAAACACATGATCAGCAAGCATTCAGAACAGAACTTCAACCCTATATAGCCAAAATGCACCTTAGACATCCGATTCCTTAGGCTAAGCATACAAATCCTCTAAGAGACTCTAAGCAGCATTTCATCAAACACTTAGCAGGCGCTAGAGAAAGCCAAGACATTAAACAAGCCTGACAAGACTAATCTAGTGTTAAGCACATCTAATAGAGAGAAGACAATCATATTAACCACAAGACATCACTAATCTAGTCCTAAAACCTCTCTAATTTATCCCATCTCAAACCCTAAATAAGACTACTCACTAGCCATAGTCAAAACCACAAATTCCAAAGAGAAAAGATGGTTAAGCATGATTAGGAATCAAAATAAACAAGAACAGATCAAAGGCAAATACAGAAATTCACTAAATAAAACTAGTTCTTACAAAGCAAAGCTGAAAAAAGAAAGGTTTTAAGTGCAAGAACAGAAAAAAATAATAGGATCCAAGTTGCCTAACCATTTTAGGATTTTAGTATTTATATGGTATCTAGGAAACCCCTAGTAAACCATGATTAAACCAAAAATAAGCTGACTCGGACAGACCATATCGACAGTGAACATCGATACACATGTCGATATCATCTCTTCTTTTGTGCTGTATTCATGTCTCCTGGTCGATATGCACGTCGATACAGAAGGATTCTGAGTTGTATCGGTTTGGCTCTCCAAGGTGTGAAGTCAGCCACAGGTGGGTAGACGGTGCTTGAATACTAGCCACAGGTTGAAAGACGCTATAGGAATCGCTTCCCGGAACCACACCACATTTGCCCATGGGACTTGCACCGATGCCGTACGAAGCTGCTCCCAGGTGCCTTTTGAGGAGAAAGCAGGGGAATATGTACCTGCTGGGTTTCTCCAACGGTAGATATCTTGTCCCTTGGCTGCTTCAGGAGGGGAGATGGTTGTAAGCAGTATTTGCAGGTTCTGGATTTCGTTCGATCTGGCATTAGCCATATTCCAGCTTCCCACCCTTGTTGCATCAACTACTTTTGCATCAATGCGGAGCCTTAGACTCACTGGACCCGAGACCCCTATGTAGTGTATTAGAGGACCCAAATCTGTCCATGAGTCCCACCAGAAAGAAACCGAAGAACCATCCTTGACCTCACACTTTAGGAAGGTGGAAAGGATATGCTTTTGTTGGAGCATGCATCTAATTGCTCTTGAGAACCTTGGCGAATCACCCGTCACCCAATAGCTTTTCCTGTTAAAGATATTTCGATTAACCCATGCAACCCAAAGAGAACCCGAGTTTGCAAAGAGATTCCATGTCTGCTTCAACCTGAAGACCTTTTCAAAGTCAGCCAGTAATCGAATACCCAAACCTCCTTCTGACTTCGGCTTGCATATCTCCTCCCAAGCAACTCTTGCTCCTGCAGCTGAGTGAGTAGTGTTTTTCCAAAGGAAGGCAGCACAGAGGGAGTCAACTTTCGCATAGAACTCTTTTGGCAGCATATACACTTGACTCCAGAAGTTGACCATACCGTAAACTTCCGAGGATATGAGCTTGATCTTGCCTGCGAAGGAGAGGAACTTTGTTGTCCAGGCGTGAAGCTTCCTTTTAATTTTTTCTAGGAATGGCTGCATCACCGAGAAGGTCAGCCGTTGAGAGCTCAGCGGCAGCCCCAGATATCTGGTCGGGAAGGTACCAATCTTGATTCCCATTTCAGCGCTGATAGATGTAGCCTCCGAAGCTGGATAGCCACTGAAAAATATCTCAGACTTCGAGGCATTCATGTCTAGCCCGGTCATAGCTTTAAATTCCCTGAGAATCTCACTGATACCTTCCATTGAGTGTCGTAAGCCATCACTGAAAACCAACAAGTCATCAGCGAATTGCAGGTGCGTTATTAAAGGGTTCTCACAATGTGGATGAAGAGCGAAATCACCCCTTCCTGCCGCAGAGTCCAGCATCCGAGAGAGAGCTTCCATAACCATGATGAATAGATAGGGAGACAAAGGGTCGCCCTGCCTGAGACCCCTCTTGCCTTTAAAGAAGCCCGCTGGTTCCCCGTTCACTAGGATAGAGAACTTTGTGGTTGAGTAGCATTTCCGGATCCATTCTCTGAACAGGGGAGGAAAATTTTGAGCCTCCATAACCTTACTTACAAAGTCCCAGCATACCATGTCGAAAGACTTCCTGATATCCACCTTCAGCATTGCAGCTCTTGGGCAATTACTACTCTGATACTTCCGAACTAGTTCTGTGGCAAGAAGAACATTTTCCCCCAAATTCCTGCCCTTCTGGAAAGCCCCTTGGTTTGGTGAAATGCACAGCTGTAGAACTGGTTTCAAACGATCTGCAATTATCTTTGAAATGATTTTATAAACCAGATTACAGCAGCTGATAGGTCAGTAGTCCCCTAATGAGCACGCCTCCGGGTTCTTGGGAATAAGAGTGATAAACGTGTTGTTGAGGTCCTTAAGGAGACGGCCATTTTGAAAAAATTCCTGGACTGCAGCAACCACTTCAGGGCCCACCGTGCTCCATGAATCCCGGAAGAACTCAACGGGGTAACCATCCGGACCTGGGAATTTATCCAGGGGCATTGCGAGCATAGTTTTGACAATTTCCTGTTCGCGAACTGGGAGCTGGAGCTGAGAGATGTGTAGGTCCGAGCATCTAAATGGCAGCAGTTCCCTGAGAGAATAGTAGACACCGGGGAGATTGGCATGTCTGTGCAGCCGAATATGGACATGAAGTATTCCGCCGCATATTGTTTGAGTTCCGCGGAAGAGGCTAGACGCTGTCCCTGCACATTTCTTAGGAAGTAAATGTGATTCTTAGAAAGGCACATGGTGACCATTTTGTGGTAGAAGGAGGTGTTCCGGTCCCCTAGGTGCAACCACTTGACCCTTGATCTTTGCCGGAAGAACTTCTCTTCGGCTTTGAGCAAGGCATTCCATCTCTGGTGGGTATTTCGCTCCTCGTTTGCAAGTAGCGGGTTTGGAGAAGTGAGCAACTGACGCTGGAGCCCTGTTGTAATCATCTCCTGCTCCTTTACCCTCCGAGAAAGGATACTGAAGTGATTCTTGTTGATTCGCTTAAGAGCCGGTTTGAGCAGTTTTAGGCAGCGGAGAAGTTTAAACTGCGCTGAGCCCATTATCGCAGCAGGGTTCCAAGACTCTGACACTACCGCTGGGTACTCCTCGTGGTCAACCACATGGCAGAAAAATCTGAACGGCTTACAGCTCCCACGTGTGAGTGTCGGCATGGCGAACAAGATAGGCGAGTGGTCTGATTGCAGGGGGTCCAGGAGCTCAGAGAAGGCATCCGGAAACTTAGATGCCCAATACTCATTAATCAGCGCATGATCAATCCTCTTAGAAACCGGGTGCTGGTCATGCTTGTTCCACCAAGAATATGTCAAGCCCTTACTTGGAGCCTCGAATAAGTTGGCCCCTTGTATGGCCAGAGAAAAGTCATCAATTTCTGAAGTGTCAATGTCCTCAACCAAGAAGTTTGAATGTTGAGAAACCCGCAGAATCTGATAATACTGCCCATGGGTGACACGACAAAGGAGAGGAGGAGCCCAGATCTTGTAGTTCTGTCCATAGAGAGCTACGTTGGTCTTGCAAATTGAACCCGTATACGAATGAGACTGAGAAGTTGACGTTTTCTGCCTCAAGAAACACACCACATGTAACCATCTGCAGCGATTCTTTGTAGACTACGACAGTTGCCCGGGGATCCCATACCACAACAATTCTGGCTGTGTGATGAGCACTAAAGTTCCCATGGTAGCTCCAGCCCCTAGGGATAGCATTCTCGATTCTTCTAGAATTTGATGGCTGGATGTGCGTCTCAGTGAACGCACCATAAAGACGCTTGTGACTATTTATCCAGGCCCTAGTCATATCCTGCCTTGACTGGCTATTCAGCCCTCTTACGTTCCATACAAAAAACATATATACAGGGGATTAGAGAGTCGTGACCTTGCGGCCACTCTTCCTGCGCGTGATGAGGAAGAAAGGGTGCTGAGGGGGCACATGTTTTATTGGGACGTGCTGCTCTAATAAGGCGGCTACTGCGGCTGCGCCCCTGCCTTTGCTATCTTTGGTAGTGGCTCTCTGCGAGCCTTTAGGAAAGGGTGGCGCAGGGTCCCGAGGCCGTGAGGAAGATCGGCGAGGAGCTTTTGATTTTGATCGTCCCCGGACTTTTCCTTTGCTGGGGGCCCGGCTTCGAGAGCGGGATTGCGGTTTTCGCTTAGTCTGATTTGGAGGAGGTCTCCTGATACAGTGAGAGCTGGCATGGCCGTGGTTACCACACTCCCCACACTTTGGAGGCAGCCATGGATACGACACTGTCACTTCAAATTCCTTGCCGTTTGTCAGCCCGAAGATGAGTTTTGTGGGCAGCTCCTTAAGGAGGTCTACTTCTACTAGAATCTTGACTACCTCAAAGGTCTCTTTTCGAGCAGTTTCAGGGGAAAGGGCTTTAGGGTCACCAGCTCCAGAGGCAATGCGCCCTAGACTCTCTTTGTTAAAGAACAGATATGGGATCCCCCGGAATTCAACCATGACCTGAGCTTTGGTGATCGGGGCCTCTTTCGGGTTGAAATCAGGGTTCTATGGAGCTACGAACATAGGATGGCCTGCAATGTTCCAGAGATTTTGGCTCAGAAGTATGGATCTGGTCCGGGGATTGGTCACCCGTAAGAGGAAGGTACCAGAACCGATGCGGTGCACAAAGATCCGAGGTCCTGTGCGGGCCCATATGGCATTAATAACACCAATAATCCTGCCCATTTCTGGCGGCTGGCCGTGGAACTGGGCGAAGATGAAATCTTTGAATTCCTCCTTTGCTGCATCTAGATTTTCGTCTGGGATGAGGATGAAAGGAACTCCCGAGGCGTGAGTAGTGGGGGTACCAATACTTTGCAGAGAGGTGGAATCTTCAAAGAGAGCTGACCATTTTTTCCCCGGCGATGAGAGGGCCGAGTCCTGATGAACCTGAGGGGTCTCATGAATAATAGTAGGAGCAAGAGCCTTAGCCGTAGCGGGGGGCTCCTGAGACGGAACTTCCTGATTTCCAGATCTGAGTGCGCATCCCGGAGCGGGCGCAGTAGAAACCTTCGGCGAATATGATATTCTTCAAAATTTATAGGAGAGTTTTGTTTTTAATATTAAGACATATTTTTTGTTCTTTATTACTCAAAAGTTATTGTTCTAATTAAAACAATTACTGTATATAACAAATTTATTCCTCATTAAAATTCAAGAGGAACAATGGAAAACAAAATTTGAAATATGTTCAATCTGGAGGTCTTTCGTGATCTAAAATGTACGTGTCACATTGTGATTAGTCATGAGGTTAGAACAAATTTGAAATTTGTTCAATCTGGAGGTCTTTCGTGATCGATAAGGTACGTGTCACATTGTGATTAGTCATGAGGTTAGATCAAATTTTGTTCTTTTTGAGGGGTTAGATCAGCCATTCAGCTGACCAAATATTTATTTCTTTTTAGTTTACGATAAAAAAAAAGAAGTGAAAGTCCATGTACAAATTATATCAAATTGTAGTAAAGCGTTGTTTTTAGAGACTGTAAACAACATATTGTAGTATTAAAAATTTCACCATAGATGATACCGATGTGTAGAGAAAAAAACTCACAAAAACAACGTTCAACATCTTAAACCCTAAACATCTTTAACCCTTTAGTCAAAAAAAATAAAATAAACAAAGTTCAACAACATCTTTACTTTAAGCAAACGGAAACAGATATGACTTTGCTTTGAACGTCAACGCTCTTGGACCTGGTCATGTCTTGAGCTTTGGCAAGGACTGCAAGAAACTGAAACTTTTCCTCCATTTTTCAACTGGTATGAGTTTATGTGTTGGCCCAAAACAGGTTTTTTTTTTCATTAAAAAGTTTCGGAAACTGATTTTTTGGTGTATCGAATTGTTTGTACCAACTTCTCCTCTTCGGAATCGGTTGGGTACCTTTTCCTCATCTCCATGTAATTACAAAACTTGATGCTAATTCGGTTCTTCATAGCTCCATACGCTTTCTAACTGACAAAGCTACAAACTAGTGGAAAAAAATACAGTCTCCAGAGAAACTACAAGTATAAAGTTGAGTTTCTGGCTTACTTAGGATGATGTGGTATATGATCAATTAGAGGGGATAAAATTGGAATACAACTTCTGCAAATTGGATAAAATGATCCTAGGAATACCTATGGTCAAGAGTTTATTGAGCTAATGTTTGATGAAAAACACAGATGCTCAAATTGCATCATATACGTCTCCATTAATCTCCCAAGGCTTTTAGAGATGGCATATGGGGATATTTAGTTGGCCTCACATCCACCTTTTGCAGCTTGTCGTAAAGTTACCTTTGAGCTGGTGTGGTGCCTTTCTTCTTTTGAGGACTTGCTCACTAGCGCCAACATAGCTCTCTTTTTGCCTTAAGATTTGGCGTTTGGACTCCCAACTTCTTTGATACAAAATCAGAAGCTAACAATGAGATAAACACCCCCATCATGCGATATACACTAAGGACAAGATCAGGAGCTAGAGAATTGTATGAAGGGTTTAATCAAGCTGTGGAAACACTCATCACCAACAAAGAGATAGAAGACATTACCTCTCAACTTGATCAACTAAGCCTATTCAAGGAAGCGTCTCAAGCAAGGCTAGAGCTTGAAGAACACGGCATTACTCAAGTACAAAAACCGTGCCAAGATGAAGTTATACAATCACATGACGGTCCAAACATTAAAACCATACAACATGTCAAGGAATGGCCGATCATACAAGGAAGGAAAGAAGTTTCGTTATTCACTATCTCGCCACTCATCTAAACGCATCACTTAGAAGCTAAGCCTGAAACGCAGCACCGTACTTAAACCGGCCAAACCAAGATCAAAGCTAAGGTATGCATTTCAATTTATTTAATCTTCCTTCGGGTATCTAAACTAATAAAAACATGATTACTTTGTGTATAAGTGATGATTCTCTTAATCTACATTAGTAGTCAAAGGCATTTGTTTCGCCAATTAGTTTTTAATTTGCTTTCAATCACTTGTGTTTTCATCAATGTAATTTGTTTCAAAGACCCCAAGAAGGGCAACAGCTGTTTGGACTGATTATAAAGTCCCCTCTCATAGCATTGTATTCTTTACCTTTTGATTAATTAAAATACCTGAGTTTTCTTATAGAAAATCTTCTTGAAACTTCTTAAACACTTGAGAGATTCATTGTTTAGTGAGTTTTGTTTGTCTTATCAAAGTTTAGAGTCATAAAACTTTGTGGCGGCCTCCATCCATATTGTTTCTAAATCATTCATATCATCCATTGATCAAAAGGAACGAGTTGTACAACCATCTCTTGATCCCACTCACATCCACTTCTATTCATCTGCCATTCACTAACCGGCCTGAACGAGTCATACGACCATCAGACGGTTCCATTAGTCCACCAACAAGATTAACCACCCTTGATCTTGTGTCATCTGGTATCAGAGCTTGCTCCTCTTACCCCACAAGAAGTCTTTAACCTACAAAAAGCCATGGACAAAGGAGATAAGCTAAGTAAAACCAATCTCTATATATCTTCTAGAGATGTTTTTAAGGTTTTAGATAATAAAACACAGGTGCTACTAATGGTCTTTAGAGAAAGTTTATTTTCAGGACAAGAGGAGAAAGAGCTACCCGTAGAGATATCTAAGCTATTGGAAGGCTTCAAAGGCGTTTATCCAAACGATATACCAGCTGGATTACCTCCCATCCGAGGAATAGAGCACCAAATAGACCTCATTCCCGGAGCACCACTACCCAACAGGCCAGCTTACCGAGTTAACCCTGAGGAAGCAAATGAGTTGGAAAAACAAGTCCAAGAACTCATGTCAAAGGGCTATATCCGAGAAAGTCCAAGTCCTTGCGCTGTACCGGTTCCACTAGTGCCTAAGAAAGACGGTACATGGAGGATGTGCGTGGATTGTAGGGTGATAAACAACATCACGGTCAAATACAGCCACCCTATCCCACGGCTAGATGACATGCTCGATGAGTTAAGTGGTGCCACCATATTTTCCAAGATTGACTTGAAAAGTGGGTACCATCAAGTGAGGATGAAGGAGGGCGATGAGTGAAAAACCGCCTTTAAAACCAAGAGGGGTCTATATGAGTGGCTAGTCATGCCATTTGGACTCACCAACGCCCCTAGTACATTCATGCGCCTCATGAATCATGTACTACGAGAGTATATCTGTAAGTTTGTAGTGGAATACTTTGACAATAATTTGATATATAGCTGAAACTTAAACTGATCATATTGAGCATCTTGAGAAAGTATTAGAGACTTTAAGGCTAGAGAGATTATATGCAAACATAAAGAGGTGTACCTTTTGCACTGATCAAGTAGTGTTTTTAGGTTTTGTTGTAAGTTCGCAGAGGCTTAAGGTAGATGAAGAAAAGATAAAGGCGATACAAGACTGGCCTACCCCCATAACCATTGGACATATCAGAAGCTTCCACGGCTTGGCCAGCTTCTATAGGAGATTTGTCAAAGACTTTAGCACCATTGCCGCCCCTATGACATCAGTAATCAAAAAGAATATAGCATTCTCATGGGGGGAAGAACAAGAGAAAGCTTTCCAGAAACTTAAAGACAGCTTAACATATTCCCCTATTTTAGTTTTGCCTAACTTTAACAAAACTTTTGAGGTTGAGTGTGATGCTTCAGGAACAGGGATTGGTGCTGTACTTACACAAGGAGGAAAATCAGTGACTTATTTCAGTGAGAAACTCAAAGGAGCTGCTCTTAACTATCCAACTTATGACAAATAATTGTATGCCCTGGTAAGGTCACTAGAAACTTGGCAACATTATCTTTTAGCTAAAGAGTTTGTTATCAATACAGATCATGAAACTCTAAAGTATTTGAGAGGCCAAACCACACTGAAGAAAAGACACGCTAGATGGCTCGAATTTGTGGAAACATTTCTATATATCATCAAATATAAGAAGGGGAAAGAAAACATTGTAGCTGATGCACTCTCAAGAAGACATACTCTAATCGCTACAATGGAGGCAAAAATCATGGGGTTTGAACATCTTAAGGAGCTGTACCAAGCTGATCCTGACTTTGGCGAATTATACCAACAAAGCAGCAGAGGAGCAGTCGGCTCATTCTATCAACATGAGGGCTTCTTATTCAAAGACAAGAGGCTATGCATTCCCCAAAGCTCAATGCGTGTGCTAATCATGAGAGAAGCACACGGAGGAGGTCTCATGGGCCATTTTGGAGTTGATAAAACACTAAGTGTCATCTCTGAACACTTCTACTGGCCCCATCTCAAGCGTGATGTAGAGAGGTTCTGCTCAAAATGCATCGTATGCCTTAGAGCAAAGTCCAGGTTACACCCTCATGGCTTATACATTCCTTTACCTATTCCTGACTTACCATGGGTAGATATTTCTATGGATTTTGTTTTAGGCATACCAAAGATCAGAAACAAGGATTCAATCTTTGTAGTAGTGGATAGATTTTCTAAAATGGCGCATTTTATTCCTTGTGCTAAAACTAATGATGCTACACAAGTTGCTGATCTTTTCTTTAAAGAAGTGGTGAGGATTCATGGGCTGCCAAGAACCATTGTTTCTGATAGAGATACGAAATTCTTAAGCCATTTATGGAGGACATTATGGAAAAAGCTGGGAACAAAACTTCTATTCTCAACCACTTGCCACCTAAAACTGACGGCCAAATAGAAGCTGTTAACCGCATACTCTCAACCCTTTTAAGGGTCACGGTTGGTAAAAATTTAAGGAACTGGCTTGATTGTTTACCATTTATTGAATTTGCATATAACCGAGTCCCCCACTCGGCTACTAAGCTCTCACCGTTTGAGATTGTTTATGGATTCAGGCCTATAGCTCCCTTAGGACCTTACACCTTTACCACATAAAGAACAGATTAATCAAGATGGGGTAACAAAAGCCGAGCTGATGAAGAAGATGTTTCAAAAGGTCAAAGCTAACATTGAGCAAATGAACTTACACTACAAGAAGAATGCTGATAAGGCCCGTAAAGAAGTAACATTTCAAGAAGGAGATTGGGTTTGGCTGCACATGAGAACAGAAAGATTTCCAACTCAAAGAAAATTCAAGCTTCTACCACGAGGAGACGGTCCATTCAAAGTCTTCAAGAAGATCAATGACAATGCCTATCAAATAGAACTTCCAGGTGAGTTTAACATTTCAAACACATTTAATGTTTCTGATTTGTTACCGTTTGATGCAGAAGGAGTTATGAGGACAGAACCTTTACAAGGGGGAGAGGATGATACAAAATCAGAAGCTAACAACGAGATAAACACCCCCATCATGCGACATACACCAAGGACAAGATCAGGAGCTAATCAAGCTGTGGAAACACTCATCACCAACAAAGAGATAGAAGACATTACCTCTCAACATGATCAACTAAGCCTATTCAAGGAAGCGTCTCAAGCAAGACTAGAGCTTGAATAACACGGCATTACTCAAGTACAAGAACCGCGCCAAGATGAAGTTATACAATCACATGATGGTCCAAACATTAAAACCATACAACATGTCAAGGAATGGCCGATCATACAAGGAAGGAAAGAAGTTTCCTTATTCACTATCTCGCCACTTATCTAAACGCATCACTTAGTAGCAAAGCCTGAAACGCAACACCTTACTCAAACCGGCCAAACAAAGATCAAAGCTAAGGTATGCATTTCAATTTATTTAATCTTCCTTCGGGTATCTAAGCTATTAAAAACATGATTACTTTGTGTTTAAGTGATGATTCTCTTAATCTACATTAGTAGTCAAAGGC